GGTGGTAGTTCTCTAAGTTAGGGACGCTGTTAGGGTCCTTTTTGTAAGGGGGGCCCTACTATTTAGGGACCCAAACAGGGACCCTAGTTCTCTACCCATGCAGGGTTTTCGGAATATAGGATTACTTGTTTATGCCGGCTACTGCGAGAGTTGCTATGAAGGAGTATCGCATTTAGGGTTTCTTGGGGTTTGGGGGTTACTCATTACTAGTGGCGTTTTCCGGTGTTTTCACAAGGGTAAGCGTTTAGGGCTGAGGGTCTAATATCATATCTACCAATACATACTGAAATGAGTCCAGAGGGCTCCTTCCTAAAGTTGTATATAGTAAACCGTGCCTCGAAATCTTGATGTTCTAATTATCAAGACCCTTGTACTTTCACCAACCAGATAGATACATGAACAGGTGGATAGCTAGAGACGTGAATGAGCAGCTGAAGAGACCGACGAGTAGAGTAGAGAGAAATCTCAATACACAGATCGATACGCAAGCAGATCGATATTTAGGTAAGTTTTCATTTTTCGCTCTTTCTGTCCATATACATGTGTACGGTGTTTTGCGTACACTGATGCTTCGCACCAGCATTCCTAATGACAGTAAAGTCTTGGTTTTGCAGACTCCTATTCCTAGACATGGGTGAAGCCTCGTCCTCGGTAATGATTATGTATGTTGATATGACCAGCGGTCTGGAGCGACAACTGGCTTTAATGGCTGTTCATGATGTTGGAAGACTAGCGATATTAAGTATGATACAAGGGTATTCGGAGTTGGCGCTGCCGCGGCAATATCACAAGTGGCAACCTTTGTAGTGAGACTGTGAATCATGCTACTCTGTAGCCGTCAGGATACGGGACTAATTCCTTACACTCTCTAGCCCCCTAAACCCAAACTAGCTTGCATTAGAAACTCGTCCAACATGCCGGAGGATGCCGAGGCGAAGTACGGTGACCAGCGAAAGTTGCCATTCGCCCAGCCATGGTCCACGTAAACGCAGGGGGTCAGAAGGATTCATCCGCAATGTTTTAAGGGTTCCTCTGAGGGGTTCCATAAGGGTTACCATAAACCCTAGACCCTAAGCCCTGAAGACTTTACCATACAGAAGAAGAGGCTGTGGGGCCTGCGTTTTTGCACACCATGCGGCGCGTAACTTGGAGCCGAAACTCTAAACCCCTAAACCCTAAACTGGCTTGCTAGAATCTGGTAGAATGTGGCTATGGTTTGCAAAAACCAGTGCAACTCTTCCCTGGGCTCCTTTTAAGGAAATATGTTGTTAAGTTATCGTAATAGGAGATCCATGGTAAATTACGTGGTGTCCTTGTTATGGAAACCCAGAACAGATTAAGTTATCATAATCGTAATAGGGATCTATGGTAAGTTACGTGGGGTCCTTATTATGGAAGCCCAGAACAGGTTAATTTTGGGAGCTAGGATTAGGGGGACCCTTGGGGATATAGACCCTCTCAATAAGGTCCCTTTCAAGAGAGCCAAAAGTAGGGTTCAGAAGGGGTACCCTTTAAGGGGTACCCCTAATAATACTACTTAAATT